ACGTGTGCTCTTCCGATCTTACACGTTCAAGTATTTGTATATTTCGAATTGACGATCATTTGCCAAGTCGTTATGAAGAAATTTCGTACATGACAAAGTTGCACAGCGACGAAATCTTATGTTAATTTATTAATAATAAGTTTTGTTTAAACCTTGGTAACATTTCCGTTATATAAACTGGAGACGAAGTGCTGGTCTCAGATCTTCGTACACTTCCGAACGCGTTCTCTGATTCTCGCCACAATAAAGAATTCCTTACAATATATACATATATGTTTATTAAGATCTACGGTAAATATTTTGTTAACATGGATATGTAGGTAACATATAAATATCTAATAGATATCTTTGATAGCTGTTTGGTGAGCATGGATGTGTAGATAATTATTAGATATTTATTATAGTTATTTATAATGAATATGAATAGTGTATAGATATGTGGATATCCTGCAAATCTATTATATATTTTGTTCTGTGTGAGATAAAGCCGAAATTCACTATAAATTAACAATTTTTTGACACAAAATGTAAAATATCTTGTTATTTATTTAGTTAAATATTATTTAGTTTTCAGTAATCATAACCTTAATACTTTTGTGCGCGAAATAATGAGACCAATTAATTGGTTTAAAGAAAATACATTAATCAACCCACACGCCACTTAACAAGTTGTTAATTTCAAACCTTTATAACTCAAAAAGTACTTAATGTAAAAATGTTTTATTATAGTATTTTGGAAAGCTCTCGAGATAAGCTATAAGAATATGCAATAAAATGTAGGGGGTTTCATTTAAAAAAATAAGGTTGACCTTGAAATGACCTTAATGGTCAAGATCAAAGTCAAGGTCATCATCTTACTCCTCGCTTGAAACCATACAACTTTGCTATTGGACATTTTCTCCAAATTGCATTCTAACTGAAGATATAGGGGGGTCCGATACTTTTCGATGACCCTGTATGTATATTATTATAATATTATTGTGATTTATTTTCTCGGACATTTTAATATTACTATAACATCTCTGTAATGTTTTAGCAATATTTTATTATAATTTTGCAATAAAAAAAATGATATTGTTGTAATATTACATGCTATGTGCTATTGTAGTTGATTTTACAATGATGAAATACACGTGCAAAGAATGTAAATTTGTAAAACAATGAGCTAATTAATTTTCTTAAAAACTTTTAACAAAATTAATTCAATTAAATTTAATCTTCTTTTAGCTCAATTTATTTATTATCGGTTCAATTTTCAATGTATATAACTATTATTATGAATGTATTTATTGATTTACTTAATTACTATGATATTGTCAAAAATTGCGTCAGCATTTGAATATACTAACTTGATTAAACGATCGAATTTCATCTGGATATCAATCTCCTCCTTGTCACAGGCTTTGCAAGGTTCCTTTTGCAATATTTCGATCAAATTGATAATTTGATCGCGACGGATTATAACAACAGTTGCTTTGAACAATACATTAATTATTGAGAGAAACAGAGAAGAACACGAGGCCAAGTCTTCCATATTATCGACCACAAGAATGATATACAGCAAGTGAGTAAGCAGCAAATACAACATTAGATATGCCGTGAAAAAAGTGAACACATTATATAGTAACTTAGAGCATTTCGAAGACCATTCGATTGGTTGCCACAAACCACATATGGTAAATAATAAGAAATTGAAAGAGAGTATCTGCATTTTTATAGTTGCTACAATTAAAATAGATTTTATTTGTTAAAAAAATTTTTTTCTAGTATACATAATCTCACGTCGAGTATAATTAATTATATGTAGCAATTAACAATTGTATATAACTACAATAACAATATATCTTTTACAAGATTGTCTCTTTTTTAAAAATAATCAATTATATTTTATGTATGAAAAACTATTTCGTAAAAATGTTTGTAAATTTACTTCTTGTATATATTTTTGGCAGTATACTTACTTTGTACGAACACTTTAACATTTCTAACAAGATCAAATAATTACGATTTATATCAGCAAAAGCAACTATTATACTAATATATAGCAATATGTACGCACGACAAAGGTTCGTAAAATACTACAAATAAACGTTTGTATAGCAGCTTTGACTTCCCTACAGAAATTAAAATTAATGATTCATTAATAATTTAACGTGCCTTGTCGATACTTTATTGCTGTATTAGAACTGTAATTATAACAATGTCGTTTGATATAATTGATGAATGTTATCCCTCTTGATAAATTCCATCATATTGCCATGTTCCCATCAAGAAGTAACATGTACTTTCGTACATGTCTATTATAAAATCCTCGTAAGTAATAATATTAATAAATATTCAAATGAATCAATATCCTTTACAGTAAATTCGCACGTCCTTTTTAAAACTATAAATATCTTGCGTACTACGACATGATATTAGAAATATCTTGTTTCGCTTATATCGTTCGATATAAAAATATTCTAAATTTCGAATATAATTGTATATAGCTGTATGTGTGTATGTATATATCAAATTATTGTGTATAATCAATCTATGTTTAAAATTATTCTAATTTTAGGACATATTATTTTGTATACATTTCAAGTATACATATCCAGACCTATACATACACACATATAAGCTCACAATATTTTATAAAGGACAAGAATAAAATTTCCAAGAATCATTAATTTTAAATAAGAAAATTACCAGTTAAGTCTCAGTAGTGTGCACCATTACATGTCTCTATGATCATTAATAAATTACAATATCTACATTACATACATAAGAACAACCAATTCACCCTCTCTTGTCGTATAATTATATGTCTGCATAATACTATTTCTGTGACACACCCTCGGTTGAAGACATCTATTTACCTATGTCAATATCATCCTGATCATCTGCTTGTTGAAAACGAGCTATTTTGTTTCATAATAAGTAAGTGCATTCAATATTATATAATATGTTTCCCATATTCTGTCGCGTTTATTCAAGCAGTTTCATTGTGCATTTTTTTGATAATAGTTCCATTACCAGTGAAAATCCTCTTTGATTATAAATAGCAGAGGGGATATTTGATCATCTAAAATTAAATTGTGAAATCGCTTATAACGTCTGTCTGCAGAAAGAATGGGTGAATATGTTTGATTCGTTTTTATTATACATTGAACAGTATTCAGAATATGCTTATAAAATGTTAGTGCATTTAGTATATAATTTACATATATATACTATAGAATTTCAGACTTGTTATCGCGTTAACATTGTTTATAAGTGTTCTGAGTACTGACAATAATATTTTAATACATCAAATCTCTATTACATCAGGTCAATTATTTTAATTTTTAAAACTTAACTTTATTTTTAAAATTATCAACTTTTCTTACACACACACACACACGCACGCACACGCACACACACACGCACACACACACACACACACGGAATCAGATTCCTGTCACGCTGTTGATCCCAGGTTACGCTGAGAGCAGGATACACACGTGCATAAGTACACGCACGCACTTACATAAGATTAAAAAGGGTTTGATTTTAAAAAATTTTTAAGATTTGAAGTTTACATTTTAATTTCTTTTCTGATAAAGTTTCCTACAATAATTTGTTTATGAGTTATATTAAGTAGACATGAAAAAATAGCACGTTTTGTAACACTTTATTTAAAACACTATAACTTTGTCAAAAAAAATTGTAGAAAAATGATCAAAAAATGGATTTGTTAGGAAATCAATAAGCTTGAAAAATTATAAATTTTTATGCCAGGCAGCCGACTTTCCTGACCAGCGCAATAGTTCGAAGAAAAATTTTGTTTTCTATTTTTCTAACAATAAGTCTGTCTTCAACGTCTGCCATTTTCTAAAGCATTTCTAGAACTCAATTTTGATTTTTTTAGTTATCAAGGGGAATCAAGCTTTAATTTGAGCTTATGTTCATCTCGATACGATAATTTTTCATAGAGTTACCGCTATTGAATGATATTAAAAATTTCAGCTAAAATTTAGTGGCCCGGTTTTTTTGCGTGTGAGTCTATTTTTTGTTACATATTCTTGTAGCTGACGTCGAAAGCTTTTCAAAACATTCTGATAAAGTTATTTTTTATGAAGTACTTTTCGAGTTATACAGTAGGACTTGAAAATAATAATACCGCTGATATTTGGAGTAAAAAAATTCTACAGCAGTAACAAACTATCGAGTCCTTATCTTTGCTGTGATGTATCCATACTCATACACACACACGAGGTGTAAATTCGACTGGATAATCTCCATCCAGATGGTACATCTTAGATAATGCTAATACCAGCGATATTGTGACTGCATTTCGTGTTAACGCTTACGCGCTATGAGCATGTTTTATCCTTATTTAATAAACATTTAATAAACAACAAGGATAAAATGATTCCGTGAATGCTGTAAGCACCAATAGCGTGATTACGGAACGCAGCCTGTAACATTCAAATCTTAATTATAATTTAAAACGTACTTAATAAAAAATAACTTCATCATACTCTTTTGAAAAGCTCTCGACATTAGCTACAAAAATATGTAATGAAAAATAGAAGTTTTCATTTAAGATTTTTATGTTATCCTTAACTGCGCTTTTCAAGGCCAACCAAAGCTCAAATAAATATCACTAGCTAATAGATTTTTTAAACCCTACATTTTTTGTTTGAAACATTTTTCCATAAAATCAATACTTTCTAAAATAATTAGCCGTTTCGGAACTTTTGCCTCTCACTATGTATACACAGGGTGTCTATAAAGTCTTACCCAGGCATAGGTACCGACTTAAGAGGGACAGCGCACTTTTGGCCCCTCCCCCAATAATTTTGAATTTTTTGTTTTTTAACAAAATATTTTTTAACAACTTTTTATTATTTGTATAAATACTGTGCTAACGAATTTATTAATCGAAACAAAATTTGGTATGCAAACTTTTTACGGGAATAGAATAAATTATTAAGCTTTTTTTCTCGAGTTTGTGGATTAAATATTCTGTTTGTACATTTTGTTTTACATGTAAAATAAAAGTATATAATCTACATATTATACATATTTCTGGGGTGATACCCGATTGACCACGTCCCGATTGACCACCAGCCACTCACAGCGCTTGAACAGTGGAAAACCTCTAGGCACCGGCCGCTGTGAGTGGCTGTGGTCAATCGGGACGTGGTCAAACGGGACGCTCCCTATTTCTGTACACTTCTACTCCTTTTCTCTCTCCGGTAATTTAAGGACTATTAAAAAAACGTCATCATTCGAAATACTTTTGCCTTGCTTCTCCAATATTTTTCCCAAGTCGGTGCCTTTGTATCCAGGCCTATTTCAAAAACGGCTTTAGCTATGGAAAAATGTTTCAGACAAAAGTTGTAGGATGTCAAGGAGAACATATGATGAAAATATGGTCTTGACTTTAAATGACCTTCTCAAGGCTAAATTATTGTAACCGATGTTTTCTTAAATGGGACCCCCCCCTCCCCATTTTTTATTACATATTTTTGTAGCTTACCTCAAGAGCTTTCCCAATCACTATAAAGAAGCATTTTTTAATCAGTTATATGAGGATTGAAAGTTACAGTACCGCCGGCATTAACATTATCCAAGGTCCGAACAATGGCTAAAACCTTTTGAATGTTTTTCAGGATCATAATCTTAATAAATATCAAGATTAAGACCATTAAAGGTTGATGCTTTTATTTTCATTTTCTAAAATTATTTTTATTTTTTGAAAAAAAGAGTGTTAAGGGATTATTGAACACCCGATGTGCGGCGCGGACGTTGAGGACACAAGGTATACGCCAGGTAAACACATAAAATCGAAATTCCATGTAGTCTCGTAGATGGGGGTAATAATTGAGTCGGAATTCGATATACGAACCGGGCTGTACGTCACCGAGACAGCATGGCTCTATTTCTTAAGTAGATTGTTATAAGCAGTAGTCGCAATATCGCAAAGTGTCATTAATTCCACTTTCAAACTTAACAAATTGGCGACGAGGATGGTATTGTGAGCGGAGTGCGAACGCGCGTGCTATACGATGATATACAGCGCATATTGAAGCACGCGACGGATAGCGATCGTACATTGAGGAGGGCCAGATAAACTGAAGATAACAGCGGAAAAAAATGACTACGGAGAAGCGAGTGCCGAGTTCCTTTACAATTGAGATCTTTGACGCCGAAAATACCACGTGGCGGAGATGGTTACAACGACTGCAAGGTACATTTACAATTTTCAACATTCAAGGGAAGGATCGAGTCTCTTATCTGCTGCATTACATTGCCCCGGCGGCATTCAATATTTTGTGCGATCGTCTGGACTCGGAAGATCCATTTCAACAACCTTTCGACGATCTCACGAGCATATTGGAGAAATTTTTCGAGCCTCAACCGTTGAAATGGCGGAAAATTTTCGTTTTCACCAGTGACGTCAGGAAGCGTGCAACAGTTCGCGGCGGCGCTGCATAAATTAAACATTCATTGTTGATTTGTTGATTATCTAAAAACCGCACTTAGAAATCAATTAGTTTTTGGATTGGAAAACAAGAAGATACAGACGCGCCTACTGCAGAGAGAAAGGATTTAACGTATGAAGAGGTGTTAAAAGTAGCTACCAGAATGGAAATGTCGGAAAAAAGCTCCGCGTCGCTTCAAGTGGCAGCGATTCAGCGGGAGAATCTCGATTGGACACGTTACAATTGGACACAGCCACTCACAACGACCGGTGCCTAGAGGCTTTCTAGTTTCAAGCGCTGTTATTGGCTTGTGTCCAATCGTAACGTGGTCAATCGGATCCCACCCAATTCGACATAATTGGACCTGACAGGCAGGGAGAAAACCACTGCGGAAGCCGGGAGTGCCGAGTGCAGCAAATGGAAAGAAGAAGCCCTTTCATAATAATCTTTCGAATACAGCTTATGCAAGGAGCAATGCTAATCGACGTTTTAATCCAAATCAATTTAATAGTGCGAAATATGTAAAAGGAAGTTTGGTTAACTCTATAAAATGTTACAGATGCGGCAGAGATCATTTGGC